GTGCGGTGCGCTGCGGTGCTGCACAGTGCAGTATGGGCGCCACGTGTGCAGTCTGCACCCGTCGTTGCAGTGCGGTGCGGTTGGGTGCGGTGCGGTGCATGCATGCTGTGCGTACAACTGGCGCCCGGCACATATGCTTATGTCCGGCCTTCAATAGATCAGAAGCCTGCATACCTTCAGGAGCTTCACCACGGAGCGTCAATCTAATCCTTTCGACCGTCCACGGAGTTGCGCATAGCACTCAAGCTTTTGGTCAAGTGTGTCAGCTGCCAAGGGCAGGGGATGGCTGGACGCTGCCACATTGGGGTGGTGCCTGCAACTCATGGTGTCCACTGCTTGCTGGGTCAGCAACTTGGCAATGGCGCGCTGTGGCAGTTTTGGAAGACTGCAAATCAGGTTGCAGATGCCCCAGATTTCAATATCTCGCCAAACAGCAGAGGAGCATTTTGGCAAGCTCGCTCCATGAGAAGCTTACAAGTGGGCAATTCAGGGAGGAGAGTAGCTCGGCTAAGCGCCACAGCCGCATGCAATGGGCACGCTCTGAAAACTGGCAAATTGGAGGTGAGATTCCAAAGGTTCATTGCCTCCCTCTGTTTGCTGATTGCCGCCGCTGTTGTTCTGATGATTTGCTTGCTTTTGTGCTAATTGGAACTTGCTTTTGAGCTGAATGAGACTTTGCTCACCCTGATTCGGGGCCAGCTGTTGGGTGAGCTGAATCGGGGCTTGCTGTCCGAGCTTTTGGGGCCCGCTGACTGCTGTTGGGCTGACGTACGTGCTGCTTTGCAGGTCCGCTGCGCGGCTTGTTAGCGGGCTCGTGGAGCTGCTTGGGGGGCTGATTGCTCTCTTGCTGTCTAGGCCAATCACAGGAATGACGCACGGCTCTTTTGTGAGGCTGCTGGGGGCTGATTGCGGACGCGCTGCAGAGCTGATTGCGCCCCTGGTGTGGGGCTGATTGCAGGTACGCTGCGGGGTAACTGCGAGCCCGCTGCGAGCTGATTTTGGGCCCACTTTGTGATTCGGCGTTTGCCAGGCCCAGAGCTCGCACATGTAGGAGTGTTTGAAAGCTCGTTTTGAGTTGAATCTGGTGGTCAAATTTGGTTGATTGAAATGCTCTATTGTCGCTGTTGCTTTGTTGATTAAAAGTCCTTTCTTGGGGATGCTTTTGTGCAGCTCTTTGTAAACCTGCTGTGGGCTGGTTTTGGCCCCTGGTCATGGCCCGCGGTCAGGTGGGTTCCTGTTCTTTGGGGGCTGCCCTGATTTTGAAGCAGCTTTTAGGCTGCTGAGAGCTCAATTCGTGCTTGCTGTGGAGCATGTGGAGCCGCGTGACAGAGTGCTGATTTGGGGGCCGCTATCAATTCGATATAGAGCCCGCCGTCTCTTGATCTAGGAGCTGCTGTCAGGCTGGGTGCAAGGCATGCTGCCGGATCTCTGTCAGCTGAATTGGGGCGCTGTCGATCGGAGGCGGGGACCGTTGCTGGGCCCCGTTCTCAGACAGGATGCGGGCCCGCTGTTGGGCTGATTCAGAGCCCACTTTTGGGGCTGCTTTGGAATCTCTAATCGAATCATTTGACGCCCGCTTCTGGGCTGATTTCAAGGTTGCCACAAAGCTGGTTACAGCCCTGTCGTGGGGCTGATTTGAATCTCTTTAAAACTGTTTTAATGCCCCGCTGTTGGGCTGACCTGAAGCCCGCTATCAGGCTGATGGCGACCCCGCCGTAGAGCTGATCAAAAGCTCCTTCAATGGGGCTTTTTCAGGTTTGCCACTCTAGTATTGACATTTCTTGGGCCTGCGGCGGGTGTCAACTTTCGTGGGGCCAATTCCCTGGTACCTGTGCGGATTCATTCGAAGGCTCCTATCAAAAGCTTAGACGTTATACAACTTTGAGAAGCTTTTGCTCACAGCCACAATGAGCGTTGACTCGTCATTCATCTGCCTTGAATTGCAGATAATGGAACGTGAGCCCTGGAAGAGAGACGGCCGCCGCTTCATTTGCCTCGAACGGCATGCGGACGAGTCGGAAAGCTGCGGCAAGAGCTTCGTGTCAAAGCAAGCTTTGGAAGGCCACCGGAAGCGGATGGGGTGTGAATCCTGGAAACTCCCGAGCGACCGCGCGCCCTCCAAGTATCGCGGCCTTGGGCCGGAAGCTGCTCGCCAATTGAAGCGTCAGAGCAACAGGGTAGCCGTGTCCAAGTATAGAAAGACACTCGACGGGGAGCGGGCCGTCCATCGGGCCCGTCACATAGCCAACTACCGCCTCATGGCTTGCAGTGCCGTGCCCGCTCCCCGGATGCCCAAAGCACCAGCTTACGTGCGGCCGCCTATCTCGTGGCTGATCGCCGATGCTGAGATCTATGTGCAGGATCTGAAGGAGAAATTCGATCGGGGCGAGATCGTGCTGAGCCACGTGACGTGGTCCCTGCGATTGCACCCAGATAAGGTTGAGGTGATTCAACCCGTTTGCTACAGTCTCAGCTTAGATTTTTGGTCACTCGTGGTTAGGCTGCAAAACGTGTACATTCTTTTTGAATTCGAGTACATCGCTGAAAATTCTGGTTGAATGGTCAAACTTTCGTGTACATACACGTTGAACGATCGAAGGACCTTTTGCAATCAGAGCAAGAGTCAATAGCACCTGGCAGGCTGACGTTGAGGTACAATTTTGCCCCCCAAGCTGTGCTTTTTGTTGGCATCGTTAGGGTAGGCTTGTCAATCAGCA